TATATTCGGCAGTTACTAGTGGTATACTGCTGTTTTCTTGTTATGATCACTTTTCTTTTTTTTGTTTTTTTTACCTCTTCCAGTCGTAGTTCAACAATTTCATGATGCGTTTGATTTTTGTTTTAGACTCTTCCACATTTTTCACGCAGCCTATATGAGGTGATGACAGTGACGACAGGCCAAGCCTTGAAGTCAAGCCACAAGCTCAAGCAACGACTTAAACCCGCCAAGTGCCCTCCACAGAACCCAAGTACCGACACGGTAAGAACAGATTACGGTTAGTTGGGGTCCTAGTGTTTCATAAGGAAGCCCCTTGCAGCGCCAACTATGGCATCTCAGGAAGTGGATCACACTGCTGAGCGTTGCCCCTCGTGCCGGTGAGGAGGCTGTGGCAATTAGAGAGGGCTTAGGGGTTTAGGGTTTAGGGCTTGCTGCCATGAGTACCAATGGCAGTGTCTGTCAAAATAGGGCTGACATCCATGGTTGTGTCACCAGGAAGTAGAGCAATGATACAGATGACAGACCTAGATGATACTTGGGAAGTTGAAGCAGGTGCCTGGGCAGCTGGCCTATCAAAGATGTAGGATTTTCCATCTTCCTTCTTCATGGTGCTTCCTCTTTGAATTAAGGCACAAAGTTCTTGTTGGCCTTGCCTCCAGTGGGATTGGTGGTTCTTCAGGGAGTCCTGGGATTTTCAATTTTCAAAGGCAGGTTGGCAGCAACACTTGGAGACCTTCAGGCCCATTCCACAGTGTCAAAGCCAACATGCTCTACAGCCAAAGAGGCACTTGCCTTCACCGGAAAAGTAGCATACAACCCCATGTAGCTTCCCTGGAGCGGATTCATATTGGTTCGCGGGAATACTCCTTCTCTGACCCCATGAACTTTGAACACACCCGCCAAAACTGCGTTTTGCTGGTGAAGGTGATCGAAGCTTTGACCATCGCCCCTGAGGTTGGTGGAAGTTGTTTCAGATGCCAGGTTTCTACGGAGGGGCAAGGATTCCCGCTTGAGAATTAGCAATCTAGAAGGAGCATAAAAGGTCATACTGGGTCGTCGAACAAGTCTATTGGAAGCGCTCAATGGCAGAATTGTGCAAGGAATCTAGAACCGTAATATTGGCAAGTATTTATTGGTT